CTCACACAAACAAGTAATTAGTATATATATATATTTTAAATTTACTAACTAACACGCTTACCTTAACTACATAAAATTAAAAGTAAATAAGAAAAACAAAAACAAAAACAAAAATAGACCTCTCAGTCTGTATATATATATATATATGTGTGTGTGTGTGTGTGTGTGTGTGTGTGTGTGTATTATAATCGAAACTTATTTTTTATATAACTTATAGTTACGTTAAGAATTTATTTTTGTAACGCGCATCACTGGTAAGAATATTTTATTTGTTTCTTTATTGTTGAGCACAAAGTTACATAATGGGCTATCTGTGCTGTGCCCACAACAGGTATCTAACCCCGGTTTTTAGCGTTATAATATTTCAAACTTACCGCTGAGCCACTATGGCGGCTGATTATATTGGAAAGAACAAATTTAAAACCTAATGGTATGATAAAGTAGTTAACATTTTGTTCTAGGCCGTTCATATGCTAAAATAAGGTTCAAATTAGTTAATAATATTGTCATCAAACACAGCACTAAAAACGATAACACTATTATTTTAAAATAATCTGTTGTATAAAAAAAGGAAACACAAATATATCGACTGTATATTTTATATTTCACGTGTTTTTGCTATTGTCAAAATTAAGCTAAATTCATAAGTTCATAATTCAGTGCATACACTTTTCTACTATTTTAATTTCTAAACTAAAAAATATTTATACTGAAGTGTGCTAGATAAGTAACAGCATTTATTTCAGACATAGATATATTTCATGATCGTTTTTAAGCACTGTAAATATAATCAAAATATATCTATATTCAGAGATCTAAAAGTATGAGATGTGAATTAAGTTATATAAATAATAAATCAATGCTGTGATCACTTTATTTGAAATCATTAAAATTATAGTGGCTTTAAAATAATAATAAAGTTTCAAGCAAAGTAACACTAACAAGCAACAGTTGTAAGTGTAAGAACTCCTAACAGTGTTTAATTAAATCTAGTTACATTAGGAGTAGCTTTCAATTTCAAACTCAGGTAAAAACTAAAACGTCTTGTGTTTTACATTTTTCTCTGTTTCTCCTTATTTTTTAGCTATACGATAATCACGCAAAAACTTAAAAGATTGAGAAACCGTGCTGTCGAGTGTGTATTTCTCTTAAAATTGATGTTTTTATGTATACAGTAATACGTTCAAGATTGATATATAATAGCAAACGATAATGTTCGACACCTAAAAATATGTATCATAAAAGTCACAAATATAGCTGCAATGAAAGAGAGGTTGCATGCAATGCTACCCAATTAAGAACGTCCATCACTCCTCAAGTCAGATTCCTGAAAGGTAGGTTTTCCGAACAGGAAGTCTATAAAAAACGTTTATTGTGTCCTAAATTATGTGGTTTGAATAATGTTTTATAATAAGACCTTCAAGATAATTTGTTTTTACAAAGCAAAATGTCTCATTAATAATCGAAAAACAACGTAAGTTTTCACAAGAACAAAGCCTATATACAACATTTACTGCGTACACAGTCTTAAGGTCTTATTTTACAGTTCCTCAGTCTTTTTATCATTATGAGTTTGTTATTTATTACTCCATAAGTTTAGAAAGTCTGAAATTTTCCAACGTTTTACAAGAACAAATTCCACATCAACTGATGTTTCAAAGGTATTACAACAGCAAGACTACATCCACCGATACCGACTAGGAGGCACTGATGATGCACATACTGGTAATAGGTATCGTGGAATTCAAATACTGCCACTTAGTAGACATAATGAACAAAACAAATTCAATAATGAAATATGTATACACTACTCTTTCTTATACACGATAAATTACAATGGAAGAATAAATGTCAAATGAGCTAATAACCGATTGATGGTCATAATAAAGTGGAACAGTATACTAATGATGGATGTCACATTTTCACCACAACGATCAGGCGATAGAACACCAAGTGTATTACACATTTATAATCTTGTCAGGGTCCAAAGTGACAGGCTACAGCACCACAAGAAGAAGGCAGCTGATCACAAGGTGTGGGAAACGTCAGGATCAACATAGCTTTACATTCAAGTCATGACGGATCATAGAGAGTAAATTGATATCAGTGACGTTAGAAGATCACTGGTTCCCAGTAGTCGCAAAACATCTCTCATTTAACGTGTCCTCAGTTTCCTATCACAGGCTAACGATAACGACTGTTTCTCCTCAAGTAACGTCTTCTACCTGAAGAAAGTATTACTTCTATTAACTTGTATTATGTCTCATATATGTTTTTGAATCAACTTGAATTTCGACAGAGCATCCAGCATAAGAGCATAATAATAAATTACCATTTCCTTCGCTGAAGCTTCTTACTTCCAGGTAAATCAGACAAGTAAGGAAGCCCGCTATATATGTAAATACGAACAATTAACGGGCCACTTGAGCTGTTGATGTAAGCTGACAGACTGATGAGCAATGGCAGTATACTGTTAAGTCACAGTATACTTTCCTCCCACTGTCAGACATGCGTTGCTAAAGTTCCAGGCTTTAAATGGCTTGGAATTTGTTGACTGGTGATGTAATGATTAGGAGGCAGGGAAGGTACTTGGGGTTTGGGGCTGTTTCCTCTAGTACTGCCGTAAATAACGTGGTCTGGAGACAGGCTGGCCTGTGAAGTTCTCATGTAAGGATTAGAATAAGCTGGTCGGAAATTTGGATCCATAGGGTTTCCCAAGTCATTAAGAAGCTGCGGAGAGCTATCGTAGAGACCACTGTCTCGACTAGAGTTCAAGTGTACTATTTGTGCATTATAATCTCTGGAGAAATCCACATACGGGATATAACCGTTGTTGTTTTGAGTTTCCTGTGCAAAGATAGGAAATTTGAGAGTTTGGCATACCTTATGAACAAGAGAAAACATACTGACATTCTCAGTATTGTAAAAAAACAAAAAAACAAATGAAATGACCTATGTAAATTCAAGCACTAGATATGACAAAATAAAAGTTATATAAATAAACATGATTATAGAAGTCTCTTGAGAAAGAGCAAATGAAGGAAGGGACCATAAGCTTCCAATTTTAGTATTCAGTTATATTTTGAGAAGTTTCTGTGATTTTTTACACTGAGTAAAGCTATTTCAACCTAGATATGAACATATTTAGCTGTGTATATAAAGGCAAGGTATATATGCCTTTATCAGCACCTTCAGTGATTCAGTGGAGCAAAAGAATGAAACCACCAACTTATTATTTACGGATGATTCCATAACTTAGATAATTCAGTATAATTTTGTAATTCCTTATTTTTCTAGTTCGTATAAGTAAAAAAAAATTACATTTCACTCTGACAGTCCTAAAAATCAATTGTTATAAACACTTAATTGCGACTTCAAACGAAAAAATGAAAACTTTATCGGAATGGTTCGTAAATCATTGTGAGACATGTACGAAAAACAGTTTCATTTAATCATTTTCAGTAATTCTATGCCTATTTTTATTTTTGCTCGAAAATTGTATATTATATATATATATGAATAAGTAAGGAATTTAAAAGAGCAGAAATATCTGTACTTTTTGAGTATATTACTTGCGTGCATCGCGGTCCAAAAATCTCAAAAATAAGAACATTTGTGAGATACTGTGATCTGAAGAGATAGAACGCTCATTCAGGAAACTAATGCTATCTGAATTTCAAATTAGTTCTATGCAGCTCTCAATAGACTAAAACGTCAGATATTTAGTGACTGAAACTGACACTATTCTTTCGGTCATGTTGCGGCTCATCAACTTAACTTTGAGGTATGTATAAACCATTCGAGTAAATCGAGAAAACGAAAGCAAGATTTGAGGCTCTTCACGCACCAATTACTTCATATTAATCGCAATGAGAAGTTTGTTTCCAGTATAACATCATAACTTCTAGTTCTAAAACTTTGATATGGGTTCTTTCTGACAAGGAAATAGTTTATTTTCTGATCGCTAGGGGACTAAAAGCTAAGTGAATCTAAAGCTAAGAAGCTTGAAAACCACTTAAATATTACCCACCAATTTTGGAGCAAACTTTGGTTCAGTATAATCCATGTTGTACTTATAGATATCGGGAGGATCTTGTACACGTGCTGTATCACTAGTTTCCTCCCAACTTCTTTCATGCTCGTTATTTGATAAAGATGAAGCAGTTCGAATTTCCACTTTCAAATCAGAGTCACCAGATGACGCCGAGTCTGACTGTTTTGCTTTGTTTTCTTGACCAAAGTCATCAACTGTAAGACAGATACTGAATTTGAAACTTAATTTAGTACTTCTAGAGTCCAAATAAAACAAAATGTTACAGTTTATACACTGAAAGCCAAAAATGTATTGGAAACCAGTAGGCCTAAAAATCGTTGTAAAAATCAAATTGTTGTTTTTTTTACTTCACATTTCTCTTACTTTGTCTATTGGGGCTCAAAATCCGAGGTGTGTAAATCTGAAATGCTATTTTTACACACCCCTGATTTTGAGCCGTTATGAACAAATTAAGAAGAATGTATGAAAAAACATATCTGCAGTGAACTTGATTTTTATAACAATTTTTAGGCTTATTGGTTTCCAATAATTGGTAAACTTTCTGTGTATAAACCGTAACTTTTAAACTATGATACTGCTTATATCAATAGTGTTTCATAGAATATTTTACTTTTAATAATCCAGTTCAACTAATGAGTTCTGGTACTGAACGAAAATATTCTTGGGCAGTAACTTATGAGGGACAAAAGTTAGATCTGAAATGCTATTTTTACACATTTCGAACTGAAATGGAAAAATTAATAAGAATGTGAAGAAAAAAAAATTGAAATTACTTTGATTTTTATATCAAAAAAAAAGAAAATGTTGGTTTTAAGATTCAAACCCATAAGTAAACTATTTAAAACATATGTATATTACACTTTATTTTGTTTAATAATGTTTAAAACAAACATAACCTAAACTCGTAATAAGTTAATTCAGAGCACTAGGTAATAAAACATCTTCCTGATTATATGAGATCAGTTTCAGAGATCAACCAATAATCAAGTGGTTGTAGCATATACGACCATGAGGTTATTTATCTTGGGCCACGAAATGTATTAATGATTTTTTTTTATAGTTGCACTAAACACAGTAGGTGCTAAAATGTTGATTATATGCAGAGATGTGCAAAACACTCCTTTAAAGTTTGTTTCCCAGAGTAAACCCTCGGGGGAGTATTAACCATTCACTCCTTTAAAGTTTGTTTCCCAGAGTAAACCCTCGGGGGAATATTAACCATTCAAAGTTAAACATCTGTACGAACAAAATATTATTTTTTGTTTTAATAACTAAAACAACATGCATAATCATACTAAGTCATGCCCATAGGTGGAAAGTTTTGTTATCTATAAAAAGACTATCATCTTTTTTTAATGTTCATTTCGTTTGAATCTAACACAGACTTGCTTTTGCAACTTTGTACTGAACGAAAGAAAAAAAAATTAATGTTAAGGGTACTTAATAAGTTTTCATTAGTTACCTTTTACTGCAGGCTTTCTACGAAGACAAAGAATTATCACTATGGTTATAGAAACTATAAGAACAATCCCTCCAATAACACCAGCCAAGATTATCATCATCGGAAGATTTTCTGTAAAATCAGTTAAATAATTATGAAATAGAATTTAAGCATATTTTTGCTTGTAATATGATAGAAAAAACATCATTTACTGGTTCTGAAAGACATTAACCTTAAATTTTACTAATTCTTTTGCATTGTGTAGATTATCAGCAATATTCTTATAACTGTTTGAATGATTCTAATATTATTTGTAAGGTATATTTAGTCAAAAATAAAAACATAATTGCAAATATAATGGTAAAGAAATAAATATCGTAAATAATTGTAATGTGGTTGGAACTATAATCAGTTTTAAGTACAGTTAGTCATAATTAGCTATTCTAGATTTTTTGTTTATTTTAGCTAAAACGCATTAAGGCCTAAAGGACATTATTACCATTGTGAAGAACCTGCTTGCCGATTGAAAACGTTTTTATGCGCATGTTGCGTTGAGATATATTCTCCACCCAGTTATTAAAATTACATATTTGCTTGAATTCAAAAACTAGATTTGAATAGTGTCATCTCATGGGTTGCTTATAAACTTGTATATATATATATATATATATAT